ATTTCAGTAGGTCAATATGCCGAAGCCTGACACTCGAAACTAAAACACATGGCCATATCTGTCAGTGACCTGCTCTAAACATCACTGCTGCCCATGTGTTTTATCTTCAAGTACCGGCTTTCGGCACATTGACCTAGTGACGTTCTTCTAGGAGCAGGTGAACTTAAAGACGAGCGATTAAGTTCGACTATATCTTTTTGGTCATCTTTTTGGTTTAGGACATCATATATACATACAGGGTGTCGCAGAACTGGTGATACATTTTTTAATGGGAGGTTCCTGAGTTGATTTTAAACAATATTTTCCGTTGTCAACATGTTGCCCAAGGCGTGGTTGTCGAGTTATTAACGAAAAACCCGAACCAATCAGAGCGCCCGTATAGCGAACGGCCAGGGCAGCGACAATTGCCTCGTGCGTTGCCATGCCTTGGACATTTTGACAAAGGAAAATATTGATTAAAATCATCTCAGGAACCTCTCATTAAAAAATGTACCACCATTTCTGAGACATCCTGTATAGAAATTACAGTCAATTCTTGGGATTATTTAATAAACAATTAGTATAAGGAACAGTAAATGGTGATGAGTAGGATAAAATCACGATAAGGATAAGATTAAGAGTTTTAACTTTATTTATATTTACAACTCACTCACGCGCTTACAAATATTAAATCAATTTCGCTGTTTTTATGAAAACTCTTAATCTTATCCTTATCGTGATCTTATCCGATTCATTACCGCTTGCTGTTCCTTTTACCAATTACTTATTATCACCTTATCTGTCTATCTTTCGCTTTTTTATATCGTCGTGCCTTTATATGCCATGCTTCTCTTTATTTCCTCTTTTCTGTGTTCAATCTACTTTTATTTTTTTAATATTGCCTCCGTTCTATTTTATGCCTATTCTCTTTTTCTCTACCTTCTTCCTCTCCCTTACATTTTCTTCTGCATCTTTCTCATTCGCTTCCGTCTAATGTGATTTCGACATTCATTCCTACCTGATTCTATAATATTTCAATATCTCTTGCAAGGTTTGCAATTTTCTTAAAATTTTATTTACTCTCTTCATCCTCTCGATAATTTGTTTTATTTCTGCTTCTCATATATTCCTTAATAGATGTCTCATAGTAAACAATTGTGCATTCTGACTTGCGTAAAGCATTTACTTTCTTGACTTGAAAATCCCATACAGCGAGATTCGACATATTCTTGTCGATTTAATGAGTTGAATAATGAGGTTGATCATTAGGATACATTTTTTAAATAATTTCTTGATTCCAACGTGAATAAATAATGAGATACATAATCTTAGTATTGTATAAAAAGAAAACGTTTGTATGTATGTTAGCACACATCTGAAAAATGACTGATGTACTTACATCGAAATTTGGGTAGTAGCTTATATGTGTACTCCGGAGTGTCATAAGGTATATTTGTAAAGCAAACATTACTATGAATAATTAAGTGGCGGAAAAAAAATGAAAATGAATTTTATTTTTTTGTCAACATTTTTTTGATATAATGAAGTACCTACGAGTCATTTACTCTAAAATATTACATAATCAACTCTTCAAAAATCAATTTGTCAACATTTTTAAATTCATGCCCTACTACGATGAAACCTGATTTTACGCATTTCTCAAGTTCGATAAGTTGTGAGTTTGATTTTCGTTCATGAAGGTGACACATACAAATACCTGGAAGTTAATTTTAAGATTTTCCAATCTAAATTTTTTTAGAATTTAGGGATCATCCATTAAGAGAGTGAAAAGATGTAAAACAATTGAATAGCCTCTACGTAGTGTCACGTCGGCTTAGATCCTAATCAAATTCGTCAACGATATTATATTAATTTCTTACTTTATACTATCACAAGTTATATCTTTTGTTTGTAATTAGTTTCTTGTAAAACTTTTAATTAACACCGCTATCTTAATCGCACGTTGTTGCTTGACCCCAACGTCATTTTTAATAGCAGTGCCCCTTAGTGCTATTAATCTGATATTGGCGCAAGTATGCGATGAACGTAAGTATCATTTGTAACTTTTGTATGCTTTTGGATTTATGGGAAAGGACTCCGTTTATGATCAAATAAATAAATAAATAAGATGTGTACTTTCAATATCTTTCAAGTCTCATGACGTAGCGATACCTAAAAGTGAAATTTTCCATTTCTTAAAACAAAAATCGGAACTCCGATTTAAAATTGCAAACGTCACCGTTGAATAGCGATCTACACTTAATCTCAAGATCAAATTCAATGCTGTCATCACATACCACTTTTTTAACGCAACAACTTTTAGATTTAATATTTTTCTCAAAAATACGTTATTTGGAAATAATTGGAGGGTCAGACGAATTCTAAAAACTTAATAAATAAAGACAGAAAATAACTTTTATTAATGTTCATTTATTACAGAACTGTACTTGTTCATATGAGTTAAATTCCGCTTCATCATTAACGCAGTTTTCAGCCAGATATTAATTAACAATTAAACTGCGGATAATATGCGAAATAAACTATTTGTGGGATCAATTTGACAAAACGTGAGTTCTAATACTATCTTTTACCTTTTACACATTGCAATGTACACTTTGCGTTTGATATTCTGTATATTTACTTGTAGTATTTGTGTCTTGTACTGTTAGATTTCCTCATAAGTGCATGAAATCTGCATGCCATTAATAATAAATCTTATTCAGCGAAAATGAGTTGATTCGCTGAATTAGCCACACCCGAATGTGCAGTATTCCAAGCCTTCGCTTCAGCAGCAGTCATAAGCTTGTAATTATAGTTAGAATTGGGCTTCCAGTCGGCTGGTCGTGCCAATTTCGGTGTCAACTTAGGTACGCTATTATGATCTGTGAATTTCGCACTTGCGTTATCGCCTAAATGTCTATAATCTTGGGAGCCTTTACCTAAGAAATTCGACTCAGAGACAATATTGGCGTGTGACAAGAATATAAAACTCATACGGAAATTGTCAATATAATTGTTGTACACGTGATAGTAACCATAGCGCATTAGTCCCGGAGCACGATTATTCACATTGTCGTAACGGTTATGGCAAATAGTTATGCGCGGGTAGCCCAGAAATTGCATGTTATTGTCATCGGCAGGGTGACCGAAAATACCGCCGAATTTGTGGTTTTTAAAATAGCAGTGGCTGATAGTCACATAATTCGCTTTTTCACCAACATAAATGAACTTATCTGCACTACCGTCAGCATCATTCCAGTTATGCCCAGGCCAGTAGCAATGGTCGACCCAATACCCCGTACCATAGTTCAAATACACTTGTTTGTCATCGTTATCTTTAAATCTTTCGTCATGCCGGAAAACGATATTTTGGATAATAACATTTCCTGAGGTTTGACTGGTATGGAGATGCACGTTGTGCAAGATGTTATTACCGTATGACCCGATAATTGATTTATTCGAGCCAAAAAAAATCGTCGTTGGAGTATTAGCAAGCAAGTTTCTACTAATAACTACAACTTTTTTATCTGAACCCGAAACAGCATTTTTAAGTTCATTAATGGTGGACACGAAGACGACAGGGCCTGACGTGCCACCGGTAACGCGTGCCGCTTTAGCAAAACCTAATATTCCCTTCACGCCTGTATTTGGATAAGACGCAGCGGCTTTTTCTTTACTATCAACAAATACCTCCAGATTGTTGAAGTACGTATTCTCTCCATGATGATATTGAGGAAGTGTTCTAACGTTCGTATGGTTGAGATTTAAGCCCTCACAGCTGGTGTAAAATAACACTATGATCAAGTAAACGATCATGTTTGTATGAACGTGAAGAACGTAGTTTATTCAGCGCTCAGTAAACAATCGAGAGACACGTATAGAAAAGATACAGATATCAGTTTGTAGAGACTATTAAACACCTGGAAAAAGATAGATTATCAGTAATATTATTTTGCAGATAGTTTTAAGAATGTGGACATTAAGACAATGAACTTACGTTATAATATTGTCGACACTTCACGTTATCCGGTAGAAATAGTTGCACTAGTGAAATGGAGGGCCCATGGGGCGCTGAACTTTGAAATTGTGAGTTATACGATAGAATAAAGGACAATTGTACTGTTTGTAAATCAATGAAAATGAAGTTCAATTGACTGTTCTCTGTGCTAGACAATTGCGGAGTGCCGTCGATGCACTCTTACTGACCTATCCTTTGGGAGTACACTCTTCTCTTGACCGTTATCGATCCAATTACGGATCAATCTCCACCATATGGATTCGCGTTTCTTCTTCCACAATTACGGTTCTCCGTTTGTGTTGGGAGATGGTAATACCTAACTTCCAATGAGCGATGGAAGTTTCCTACTATGTTGAGTACCAAGGTTAATATGCTCGTAATGCGGATACGTAATACAAGTACAGCTTTCCCCTCCACTACCGAATGTTGCTTGATTCTCCTCCTGTCCAGTGCCTACGAAATATTATATTTTCACTTGTGTTATCAGATGACATGGTAGAATTGCAGATAAATCTTCACGGTATTATAGATTGTAGGATCGTTTACTAAACTACGGGTATTGGTTACTTGTACGATTTCAACAATTTATAGTTCAATAATATATAATTCAAGTTTATATTATATCTTGAAATATAAAATAAAGAGGATACATATATCCTAAAATAATAATATGTAATATTGCAAACTAATATACAACGTATAAAGTACTTAAAAAGGTACCCGCGATCACGAGAGAGCATACCCGTTTCGCGCAGCTTGGTGGTAGTGGGGTAACTCGACGGATGGGAACGGGCTACCATAGCATAATGTGCGGGACAACCAGCATATTAATACCACATCTGAGTATGATACATTATGCACATCATAAAGAAGAACCTGAAACTTATTTTCAAAAAATGCAGCGTACCTTTAACCATTTAGGGTACCATTGACAAAATAAGGACTAACTGTCCAGTTCCCGATCATACCACACCATGACCGTTGACGTTTCTATTACGATTTTCTACCGGTCAGTAATGCAAATTTCTGCAGTTTACTTGACCATGATTTGTAAACATCGATTTGTCCGTAAAGAGTACTTCATCGAAAAATGAAGCTTCTGGAAGAAATGGAGTTTTTAGAAATTAGAGAATTAAAATCGAAGACGCATGAGTCACATGCGCTTCGTGGAATCGGGATATTCCTTCCCCGAAAATCGACGGTATCGTCGGTAGATGGGAATTTCGATGAAACGGGAATTCGTCAGGTCGAACAATAAACACAATGTTGATCCAATTTCTTAATCCTCTTATAACTCTAGCCGCTCGGTCGAGTAAAGCGCGTTTTCCACTATCCGCCGGCATGGAAAGGCAGGACCAAAACGTGAAGTTGCGAGATATAGGGAAAAGCGTGTAAAAGCTGGGTGCTTCAAAGGGGCCCATTGGTCTGCAGAGCGAACTGCGTTGGAAAACGTATGGCTTCGATGCGTGATAACGGATCAGCAACTACATTCTGGTCGCCCGGCATATAATGAATTTGTGTCGCGAACTGCGCGATGAACGACAATTGACGAGACTGTCGAGGAGAGGACCGTTCGGAGTTTTGTGATAACGCGTATATTAAAGGTTTGTGATCGGTATATATCTTAAATTCACGGCCTTCTAGGTAATATCGGAAGTATCGAATTGATTCATAAATTGCGGTGAGTTCGCGGTCGAAAGTACTATACTTCTTCTGTGCAGGCGTGAATTTTCGTGAGAAAAATGCTAAGGGTTGCCCCGATTCATTTTGTGATTGTTCAAGTACAGCACCCATACTGGAGTCGGATGCGTCTGTGACTAAACGGATCTCAGCTTTTTCCGATGGATGTGCCATGTAGGCAACGTTGGCTAATGATTCTTTACACTGAACGAATGCTGCTTCGGCTTCCGTAGATCAGGGAACATCGCGTTTATCTTTACGGCGCGATTCGCAAAGAAATTCATTTAAATGTGCTTGGATCTCGGCGGCGTGTGGAATGCATCTGCGGTAAAAATTAACCATTCCGAGGAATCTACGTAATTCCTCGATCGTACGAGGTTTGTGGAATTCATTAACTGCCTTGAACTTTTTAGGGATCGGCTTAAAACCTTCCTTATTAACCAAATGGCCGAGGAAGACTAATTCGGGTACGCCGAACTGACATTTCTCGAGATTCAAGCGTAAATGGAATTGTTGCAATCTCTCTAGCACTTTTTGCAGATGTTCCTCATGCTCCTCTGGAGAAGGGGATGCTATGAGGATATCATCTAAATATGTGAACACGAAGTCTAGATCGCCGAGTGCACGATCGATGTATCGTTGGAATGTTTGCCCGGCGTTGCGGAAACCGAAGGACATGGCAAAAGTCCGAAGGGTGTAATTACCGCGGTTTTCGGTATATCTTCCGGTGCTACTGGAATTTGGTGGTAAGCTTTATGTAGGTCGAGTGCCGAGAAAATGGTGTTTCCGTGGAGAACGGTCGGAAAATTGTGAAGGTGAGGTACAGGGTAGCGGTCGGGTACAGTCACCTGATTAAGGCGTCGGTAATCGCCGCAAATTCGCCACTCACCGTTCTTTTTACGCACGAGATGAATCGGGCTAGCCCAAGGGCTACTGGATGGCGTGATCATGCCTGCTTCCATTAATCGTTTAAATTCTGCTTTTACGGCTTTAAGTTTATCGGGTGCTAGTCTTCGTGCGCGTTCGGCTACCGGTGGACCGGTCGTGACTATATGGTGATATACGCCGCGTGACTCTAAAGGAACAGGTTGTCCGCTCCGATGACTTTCGGAAATTTAGTCAGAATATGATTGTATTTGCAATTTGGGTCGACTAGAACTGCGGATAAGCTTGGGGATATCTTTGTTATACCGAAAGCTTTTAGTCCGGTGAGTGAGTCTGCCAAACATCTATTTTTTAGGTCGACGGCAAGACCGAAGTGGGCCAAATGATCGGCTCCGATAATAGGATACGGGACGTCAGCAATGCAAAAATTTCATTCGAGTTGACGACTCAAGCCGAAATCTAATGCACGACGCGACATACCGTAGGTATTTATGTTCGACCCGTTCGCGGCATACAGTTTGAATTCGCAGGGTGTCACGAATGCTTTTCCTTGCCTTGGAACGAGCGAAATGTCTGCTCCGGTGTCGATAAGAAAAGATTGGCCTGAATTACGGTCGCGTAAATGGAGACGTCGCGATAGCGAATGACCGGACTCGTGCGTCTCCTCTACGGATGGCCTTGGGCGTTTCCCGAGGTTGAGTTTCGCTGATCCCAAGAGCAAGGAGGTTTGCATTTACGTGCATTGCGGCCGAATTTCAAGTGGGCTCAGCAGAGTTTCCAGCCGCTGTCGCGACTTTTGGAACGTCCGCGTCGATTCTTGTTAAAATTGCTTCTACGCGGGCGGGTGTTTCCTCGCTCACGTAGGAGCTTGGATAAATCGCGAATTTCTCTGGCGATCGAAGCCACGTTGTTATCGGTTGATAACTCGGTGGATGCATGGGTTTCACTTCGTGGTACGGTGGACGAAAGGCTTTCGCCTTGCGAAACGGTTATGATGCCAGGACCGCCCTGTGCAACCGCTTCCGTGACGCGGTCATCCAGTTCCGCTAGCTCTTGCAGGTTTTCTTTGGACGCGGATAGTATCGCGCGACACAATGGAGGTAAGTACTCCAGAAACATGGTTGTTAAGATCGGTTCGTTACACGAATTGGCGCTTAAGCTACGCATTTTGGCTAAAAGCTGTGTAGGTTTTCCCTCAACGTTTAACTGACCTCGCAGGAGCTGACGAAATTTTGCTTCTGCAGAAGTAGAGAACGCCGAAATAATGCGCTCTTTAATTTTATCATACGGCGCGGTCGGGTCCGGGTTTTCAATCAGGTCCGCGACGATTTCGCTCGCTTCTAAATCTAAATATTTCGCAACTATATCGGCCATGCGCGACTGTTTTGAAATACGCGCGGTGCGGAAAGCGGCTTCAACTTTCGCGAATCATAATGCCGGGTTACGTTTAATAAACGCGGGTAAAGTACACTGCGCGTTACATGTATCGACGTGGCTACTATCCGTCTCGTGAAAAACTTCTTCGCTTTTTAACGCGTCGCGCTCGAGCTCTACTAATTTTAATTGTTCTTCCAGTTCCCGAATTCGGTCCGATATTTCTTTGGCGGCGGCCATTTTGAGACGCGGTTCAAACAAGAGAACGTATCGCGAAGGTGAATGGATGGGTACCTCGCTACCGATGCGTAGGGATGAGGATCGGTCCAACGTAATTGAACTCTGCGTAGGATGCGTAGCATCTAGGATTGGGATGAACCTAGTCGACGACGACGATGAATGCGGGTTGACCGGTTTCGCTTCTCGGTGGCTGTCGTCCGGCTTCCGGACAGCAGCGCGTTGCTTGGGACTCCGCATGTTGTAAACTGGACTTCTGAGCCCACGGATACGACTATCACGTCGGGGTCACCAATGTGGAGTTCTGGGAGTTCAGTAATGAATAAATCCATAGAAGTCAGAGATGTGGTCA